GTCCTTACTCCCCAGCTCCAGTTGTCCCCCTGAGCTTGTGCTCAGGCCAGCTCTGTGGAGTTCAAGATCAAGTTGCAGTGACTTAAGTACTAAAGCCTGTGGATTCCACGCTGTCACTCACATTTTGCTCTGCCCCTCCCCGTGACCCTGCCATGTCTCCCGGGATTGTCTTGGAAGCTTACCTCAAATGCCACTTGCACTTGGCTTCCCCAGGTGGCCTCCTTGTTTATTAAGCTCCCAGATCAGTCATCAGCTCAGGGGCTTGGAGACAAGGTCAGTGAAGAATGACACCTTGCTTCCCTGTCTAGCACTGGACCAACTGAGAGACAAGTGAGTCAGTCGAGTAGAGATAAATTACTCCCGACTTCAAAAAGTATTGACTAAAGCTAAATTGGAGGAGGTAGCCGATGACTGTGGAAGCAGTAAACTTCCTAATTCCACTTCCTCAGAATTAGATGACTAACCAGCCTGGCCACAAGCACTCCTGAGCAACCAGAGTGTGAGGGCCCTCTCCAGCTAAGCTGGCCATGCAACCCAAAGAGAGCCAGGGACAGGCCTTCTGCAGGTAGGCAACGTTGAGCCACCAAGGAGAGAGGGGATGAACTGGACATACCCAAAGTCCTCTGTCAATTTTGTCTATCATGGAAGAATCAGGAAGGAATAAGGGCATGGGTAATGAGAAACCCAGAGGAGTTACACCAATGGATGGTCTACGCATCGGAAGGAAACATCATGAGCAGGGCTAAGTGTTCCCACATAATAACACTCATCCTCAGGCTGGGGATGTGCCTGGCATGCACAAAGCCCTGGTTTTGATTCCCAGGACCCAATAAAATTGGGCATGGTGGCACATAGCTGTGATCCCAGGACTCAGGAGGCAGAGGCAGGAGAATCAGAAGTTCAAAGTCATCCTTGTTGACATATTGAGTTCTAAGACAGTCTGGGATGCATGAGACCCTGACTCAAAACAACACAAACAAACACAATTAAAAATTAAAGTAAAAACAATAACCACCCATCCCTTGCTACAACATGAAAGTCTACTTCCAGTTTGCATCTCTTCCCAGTGCTTGAGAAAGTCTCCAGTGAAGTCATATGGGCCATGTGCATCTTAACAATAAAAGCACTTAGCAATCTTCTTCTCTTCTTCCGCTAATGTATTTGGGATCCCATTTCTATCTTTTGTGAGGTGTCCTTTCTTCCGTGGCCATCATTTGTGAGCACAAGGAGCTCCTGGCTGTGGAGTACTCTACGGGTCTGCCACGTGTCCATCAGCACTGCAGAGTGACTGAGTGTGGTCTGTGGGTTTGTGCCTGTGGGGTTTTAGCCGACAGGCGTCACCCATCTCTGTTTGTGGAGGCTTTGTTCATAATGGACACAACTCTCTAGCCATGATCTTTAAAGTGATAGATTTTGCTTTCAGTACAACAAGGACCAACACCCCTTGATTTAGGGGAATTTAGTTTATCTTCAAAGTGGCAACATATGAAGTTATGCCGCATTGCTATGGAAGCTTATATAGTGATTCCTATACCGTGGCCACTTCTGGAGATATCTTTGCATATTTTATTTTTGTTTTCCATTTAGAAAACTTCTGCAATGAACAGTCAACCTCCTGTTAACCCAGATCTGAAAGAGCATGTCACCTTACTAATGTATT